GACAAAAGAGATACCTCAGAAGTTACTGAACTTGGTTTTGTCCCATTTTATAGACAGGGACAACTGATTCTTTCCGCTGTTGTGGTAGTACTTCCTATTTCCAAATCGATAATATGATCTTAAGTATCTCTGAGTGCAGTGTCCTACCACCTGCATGAATTAATTCCCTCTGAAATTGAATCGATGCCTGGCGATTCATAAAGTTTTAATTTTCCAATGGCAGTTTCAACTTCATTAAGGGTCAGTTCCGGGGTGAAGGGCTGTGCTGCATGTACTTGAGGCTCATTAAATTGATCGGCTACGTGAACGTCTAGTAACTTACTACAGTAATCTTTCCATCAGTCTACGATGCTACGTGATTCCGCGAGAAGAATCCCATTCTCGTCCCTGATCAAATGTGTCCTAGGTTTGTACCCCTTCTTGAATTCGCTTTTGCCTGTATACAACTCTCCGATGTTTTCATTTTAGCTGTCAGCTTCCAGCTTCCATATCTGATCTTTGAGATGCTCCGTCTTCTTATTCCTCAAAGTTCTGCTGTTTTCGCGCATTACAAAGACACATCTTTCTCTCTTTATTCGAGTACGGGCCTGCAGCCATTGCAATCGAATCCGCCCCCTTCATCTTACCAAGACAGAGCATTCTTCATCAAACCATGCTTCATTTTGCGAAATGTTACGATACCCTACACTTTCCTCAGCTGAAATTTTCATGTTACTCCTCATATTTTCCCATGTCTTATTGACGTCTATTTCCCTGTCCTCTGTGTTCCCTGAAACGTTTTCTAGGATTGCAAACTTATTCGAAATTTTTACCTGATGCCCCTGCTTAGCTTCTATATCGCTCGGTTTTTTGACGTTGAATTTCTCAATTCTGTATATCTGCCCCGCCTATTTTCTGATTAAGAGTCTTGCCCCCAATTTGGCTATCACTGAATAATGTTCAGAATCACAGTCCATTCCCCTATAAGATCGCACGTCTACGATGTTTGATTGTCTCCTCCGATCGATTAGAACGTGATCAATTTGTTAATCAGTCGTCCCGTCAGGGGAAGTCCAATTGTGTTTATGGATATCAAAATGTGGGAATTTTGTGCTTTTGACAATCAGACATTTGGATGTGGCAAAGTTCACTAATCTCACCCCATTGTCAATAATAAATTCTTGTAAAATCTCACTCCTTATAATTGGTTCGAATATATCCTCCCTACCAATTTTGGCGTTGAAGTCTCCTAGCGGAATTTTCATGTATTATCTACATAACATAACGTATCATAAAACATTTTTACGGCCAATGGTTGTTAACCCAACACCCAAACTCAAGGACCACGCCTTATCGGCTGTCCGCGACTGTTTATTCAATACATTCGCAGCTAACCTCCGCAACTGGAGGCTGTCCCAATCTCTTTTTCAAGTCGTGAACGAGCTGCGTCGAGGTTTAGAATGCTTGTAGCTCAGCCCCCAAGCTTTCGAAGGCGCCACAGCTCAGGCGTGCGTTCGCCGGAGGTTGGGTTTCAGTCCCAAGCAGTGGACAACGTTCAGACTTTTCACCTCACCATTACCATTATTCCAAAGCCTCACTGTCATCTGTCACAACTCTCATCCACAGGAACTGGTACAATAGCCGTATTTGAAGCCGTAGTCTCACCCCAGACCTATCATCGTTAGCTCAGTAACTCATCCCTGAATTACGAGGTGCGATCACAAAGTTTCAAGACTGTGTCAATAGAGGGCGAACCGGATGTAGTACGAGCTTATGCCGCTAAGGGGTTGGGCCTACATTCATAGTGAATCAGTGTGCCAGCCGGCATCATCGAATTAGAATTTGTTTCTTAGTTACGGGCGTTTTGGTAGTGCATTACACCGACCCTCCTGCGATTTCGGAATGGCGTATGCATCAAATTTTGCCAAAGACTCGCCAAAACGGCTACGGAAACCTATGAAATGCTAAAGCAAGCATTTGGGGAGTCATCTCACCCCAGACCTACGAGGTGCGATCGGAAAGTTTCAAGACTGTGTCAATAGAGGGCGAACTGGATGCATCACACCGACCCTCCTGCGATTTCGGAATGGCATGTGCATCAAATTTTGCCAAAGACTCGCCAAAACGGCTACGGAAACCTATGAAATGCTAAAGCAAGCATTTGGGGAAATACTTCGAAATGGGTCGTGCACAAACTTTTGTGAGGCATTC